CTTTTACTGGTTCCCAAACTGCAGGAATTTAAGCGTGCTACTAGGTTGGCATCTCGGTCCCACCTGTTCACTGTCGAAACGGTTAAATGTAGCCGTCTCTTCTACTCGAATAGCTTCATGTCTCACACTTCCCGTCAGTGGAACACCCTTCTTCTTATTTACTTCCCTGATAGCTGTAATCTTCAAATATTCAAATGTAATGTCAATTGACATCTTCCGATGCCTTCATCTTGAACCCCGTCCTTCACTTTATCCTTTCCTCAAAAACTCCTCTTTACTCTTACTCCCACTCTCTGTAACCCCTTGCGTGCTAGTGACACTCCCGCCTTCCTTGGGGTGAAATGCTTAAAAAATACGCACAAACGCATACACACACTCACACACTCACACACAAACACACACAAACACACACACATATATACATATATATATATATATATATATATATATATATATATTGCTCTCACTTTCTGGGGTGATAGGCTTTTAAAAATACGCACGCACACATACACACACACATATATATATATATATATATATATATATATATATATATATATATATATATATATTCATTGCACTCACTTTCTGTAACCTTTTGCCTTCCAGTGCCACTCCCGCCTTGCTTGTGTCGAAATGCTTAAAAAATACGCACACATATATACTCACACACACACACAGATATATATATATATATATATATATATATATATATATATATATATATATATGTACATTTCTCTCACTTTCTGTAATCCCTTGCGTGCTAGTGCCACTCCCGCATTGCCTGGGGTGATATGTTTTTAAAAAATAGATAAAGATAAAGTAAGCAGATAAATAAAAATGTTGGAATTTGATCAGGCTAAATGTAGCCGTAGGTTCTATGCTAACAGTTTCTTCTCTCACATTCCTCTCTTTCGGAACTCTCTTCCGGCTCCATCCTTTCCAACTAACTTTAATCTACAGAAATTTAAATGTAATCTCAGTCGTTATGTCTTCTAGATTATTCTCCTATTGTTTTCGCTCTTTAAAAATCTTTCTCTTTTTTCTTATTCTTTCAAATACGGTAACCCTTTGTGTCTTAGTGGCTTTACTGCCTTGTATCGGGTTAAATTATTTTTTTTAAAGTATGGCTACATTAGATGGTGTCAAAGATCGTTCATGATTAGAAACTTAAAAACAAAAGTTACCTACTCACAAAAAAAAAATTATTGGTCAAATACGTAACCACTGTCTCCTATTGTTCTGCACTGATGCCATTTTTTAGAAATTCCCTGTTTTGAGTTGGAAGAAAATTGTGAAATAAATAAAGATGATATGAAATTAGATCTGCCTAGATGTAGCCATACGTTTTATGCTAACAGTTTTTTTTCGCTCTTCTCCTTTGTAAAACTCCATGTTTTACAGCCAGCTTTAATCTGCTTAAAGTTTAGTTATACTTTTTTATTTATATAGCTGATTTCATTTTTTTAATATGAATTTTGAAAAGGATAATTTGTAGTTTTATTTCTGATGAATCGTTGAAAGCATTCTCATGTACATTGGATAATTTGTTTGCTTTTTTTTTTTTGCTTTGTTTTTTATGAATTATCAATAAACATTGATAACAAATTTTGAATTTATTTTACTTACGAAAAAAAAAATACTCGAAATCATTTTATTTCGAATGCGTGATTTTTCAAATCTAGAGTCGGGTTCAAAATATGAGGTGCGTTTAAAAAATTACGTGGTACCTGATAAGCAAAAATTGAAACACTGAACTAAATACTTTTCTATGGTAAGGCAAGAAATGTCACAAATTATAACGGTTGTTGAGTTCTAATTCCAGTCGAATTCATTAAATTCACTTACGTACTAATACCCTTGGGAAAGGTAGGAATCCTCTTCTTCTCCCACCCAGCTATGGGTAAATAGCAGGACAGACTGAGTTCTATAGCCTTGGATGGCAACTGGGCTACCGCAGAAAGAAATGGCAACCTACTGCGGCAAAAATCTGCCTTGTCAGTCATGTATCGAAAGATACATGATCGCCTAAGCGTGTATCACCTATGGCACATATCTGACTGACGTGCTAATACCTTTGAGAAAGGTATGAATCCTCTTCTTCTCCCCCCACCCAGCTATGGGTAAATAGCATGATAGACCGGGTTCTATAGGCTTCTATGACAACTGGACTACCGCAAAAAGAAATGGCAACCTACTGCGGTAAAAATCTGCCTAGTTAGCCATGTATTGAAAGATACATGATTGCCTAAGCGTGTATCACGCATGACACATAACTGAGTTTAGCAGACAAGAGTTTCTGCTAGTTAGGTTTTTATGTAAATATGGCGAATGCGCGTCAGTACAGACGCAAAAGAAGCCTCGGGTTGCAAGAGGACATCCTTATCAACACCAGTTACATCCGGGTTTTTCTCGTTAGCGGCGGGACAGTTTGGCATGTCGAGCTAGATACGGGCCTCTCTGCTGCAGCTAATCAAGATCCGCGTCTTTGTAAGATGCCTCATAAAAAGCTGGTGGAAAACGGCAGTCGGCAAGATACGGTGTCTTCTGATGTCGGTCCCGTGGGCATTTTGTTCCTCAATTTCCTGTGGTCTCCGAGGCAGTGTTATTTTTTGTTACCTCCCCTCTCTTTCTCCTCTCTCCCTGTTATCCCCTTACTTGTTGGGAAAGCGAACGGTTAGGTGTTTCCCCATCAAATCTCAACAGATTCTTTGCTTACATTACAACAATAAAGGCAGGTGGTAATGTTACGGCTGTTGGTGCCGACTATGGCGTTTAAAAAAGGAATTTTATTATTGAGTTCGTAAGTTAAGTGTAAAACGTAGTTATTCTCGACGGTTTCTTTAAGATTTTATTTCATCTAGGAATTCTGTCATCGATATAAAGGACGAAATTAGTGGAATTAGTAATGGATAGCTGCTTGGATTGAGGAATCGGAGAGCCGAGTTCGAATTCCACTCGAATCCATTGTATTCACTTACGTGCTAATACCCTCGGGAATGGTATGAATCCTTTTCTTCTTCCCCGAGCTATGGGTAAATATCAGGACAGACCAGGTTCTATAGCCTTGGATGGCAACTGGTTTTGTTTAGGAACGGTTTGGTGGGTGGGGAGAGTATTATTTTGGACAGTTATGTTAGAGGTTTTAAATTTAGTGTAGTATATAATTAATTTTATTTGATTATTTTCTTGGATGGGTTTAGTATATTTGTGAGTGTTTTTTGTTATAGCTAGTTCATCGAGTTTATAATTGCAGTGCATTTGATTTTATATTATATATATATATATATATATATATATATATATATATATAGTGTAACCCGGATATAAGAGACCCGGATATGAGAGAAACCCGTATATAAGAGAGATTTTCAGTGGTCCCAAATTAGAGCCTGTGTTAATGTATATAAAATAGACCAAACCCGGATATAAGAGAAACCCGGATATAAGAGACTTCTTCTCCGGTCCCGACAACTCTCTTATATCCGGGTTACACACTCTCTCTCTCTCTCTTTCTCTATCTCTCTCTCTCTCTCTCTCTCTATATATATATATATATATATATATATATATATATCGTATTTATTTTTTGTTCTGTTTATTTTTTGCTTTTCTTTTTCTTTTCTTTGTTTGCCAGTGTTTATTGGAAGGCACGGCGGGGTAATGGATAGCAGCTCGGATTGAGAAATCGGATAGCCAAGTTCGAATTCCAGTCGAATCCTTGGGAAGGGCATTGATCCTTTTCTCCCCCCCAAGTTATGGGTAAATAGCAGGACAGACCGGGTACTATAGCCTTGAAAGAAATCATGGCACACAACTGACTGACTAAAGACTTCGTTTTCTGCATGTGTCATGTAGAAATGAAATAGATCAGGTCTGAATGCCAATCTCATCTCTATATCGTTAGTTTGTATATAAATGTTTCCATCTTCCTTTATGTGCCGGGTCTCTTCCTGACGTTGGTGATCATGGCTCTCCACTTTTTCCTGTGTCTTGTAGCTCTCAATAAGTGTTGTCTATTTGTTATTTCTCCCAGACCCCGTCATTCTATCCACTTGCTTAAGCCCGTTATGTATGTTAGTCGCTGCTTTTCCTTGCACCTCTTTCCCGTTATCCGCCCTGTGAGTACCAGATTTTCCAAGCCCTAATTTCTCATTACGTGTCCCAGAAATTTTCAGCTGCTTCTCCTTGATGTTAAGTATAAGTTTCCTATCTATTTGTATCCTCTCCAAAACCTCATTGTTGCTCACACTCTCGGTCCATGATATCCTTAGCATCCTTCTGTAGAATCATACCTGTGTTGCTTCGAGTCTCTTCTTCATCTTTGAGGAAACCGTCCAACATTCATTGCTGTAAAGTAGAACATATATCACGTAGCATTTCAGTACCCTTTTCTTTGTTACCCACAAAATCCTCATGTCTCGTAATACTCTGCCTCGCTTTTTGGAATCCGTCTTTGGCCATGCGTCTTCGGATCTCAGCATCGCACTTACCGTCCATAGTTGCCGTTAAAAGATACTTGTACCGTGCATGATAGAATGTATGTTTGATTTAATTTTAAAAGGTAGGAACGTCTGGTGTATTGTATATCATATCTATAGTTTCTTTGACGAGATATTAGTGAATAAACCTTCCACGTCAAGCGAGGCTAGAATGACGTTACGTGGTTTATTAGACTGCAATATGTCACGGAACTCACTAGGAAACTTAATGCTATAATTACTGTGGTAAGTATGATTGTATTAGTTGGTTTAGGGTTTTTGCTCATTTATATACGGGGGTTGGGAGTTTGAGGGATTATGGAACGTAGCCGGGTGATAGATTTGTGTGCTTCTACGTTCCCCTATATGTCACATACAAATTTGTGGAGTTTTCTGGATCCAGTCTTTGCGTTGTTAGTCGTAATCAGTTTATTAAACTGTGTCTGGAGAAAGCTGATAACGCCTTTGTTGAGTTGTTAAGAATTAGTTAGTTTTGCTTTGTTGTTAAGAATGAAGTCAATCTTTTTTAATATTGTAGTCGGTCTTGTTTAGCATATCAAAAGTATTGGAATTGTCATTCCTATATTTGTCATAGATAGATAGATAGATAGATAGATAGATAGATAGATAGATAGATAGATAGATATGAACAGACAGTGAGATAGATTGATATGAACGCACAGAGATAGATAGATAGATAGATAGATAGATAGATAGATAGATAGATAGATAGATATGAACAGTGAGATAGATTGATATGAACGCACAGAGATAGATAGATAGATAGATAGATAGATAGATAGATAGATAGATAGATAGATATGAATAGAGTGAGATAGATTGATGTGAACGCACATAGATAGATAGATAGATAGATAGATAGATAGATGTGTGTATTTGTAAATATATCAAATTGTCCCACTGTTCTTGTAGCAACTTCTCTTCTGCCTCCACGCAAATATTTATAAGCTTTTGATGGCGCGTGCATAGATCCTGGCGCATGCGCAGGTTTTGCGCTTCAAGAATGTCGGGAAGGAACTAAGTAGCACAAACGGAGCGTATGTAAATCCGGTGTACCATAATCCACATTTCTGTAAACTAATTCCCCAATTCTTCTTATCAACGGTGTTGTAATCACTGCATTATTTCCGCAAACACAAACTCAACCATTTCAAACATGGCGAGCATTTTACTTTTTCTTTTCTTTTACTTTTTTTTTTTTCAGGCACAATTTTTTTTTTTTTTTAGTTTCTGACTATTGCCGTCTGTGTTGCTGGTCTTGTTGCTGTCGAATTGCGTTGCTTCTGATAAGTGGTAGAAAAGGGTAGACATCTATCTCACTCTGTTTCTATCTATCTAGATTTACATGATAATAATAATAATAATAATAATAATAATAATTCGTACCTTCGAATATAGGTATATGTATATTTATTAATATATAGTTATACATGATAGACAGATGCCTCAGTCTTTTCATATCTATCTCAGTCTTTTATTCTATTTATCTATCTATATATCTATGTAACTCTGTATATATATATATATATATATATATATATATATATATATATATATTATAATTATAAATTAATTGATTTAAAAATATGTTTTTTTTCTTACACAGTTCTAACCATGTTTCAAAAATGGAAGCTAAAAGCTTCGAATTTGATTTTGTAATTAAATTAAAGACATTAGTTCCATTTCATCCGGTTAATATATATATATATATATATATATATATATATATAAATATATTATATATATATATATATATATATAAAATATTTATATATATATAACTACCTCTATATAACTATATATCCCAGTTTGTTATTCTATCTATATATCTCAATCTCTTATTCTATCTATCTATCTATCTATCTATCTCAGTTTATTCAATCTCCTCGTATATTTCGTAGCTATTTGCTTCTTCTATGGGCTGTGGTTCTTCAGGGCGTGGGCAGTCATGGTTCTCCACAACTTCCTGTTTCCATCTCTTCTAATCTCTATTCTGTCAAAAATTTACCGAAACTCTTTAGTTATAGTTAGTTATGCGATATTTTCCTCCATCCCACTTGCTTTCAGTATGACCTGTGAGTGTTAAATTTTCTAATCCCTCTTTCCTCTTTATGTTCTCTATAACTCTTTCTGATTCTAAGTATAACTTTTCTTTTTCTTTCCATCTTCTCAAAAGTCATGTTCAGTCCATTTTATTCTTAGCATCCTTTTGCAGAACCACATTTCTACTGCCCCAAGTCTCTCCTGTGAGGGGATTGTCCCGCATTCACTGCCATTACTGACACGGAAGCCACCCATCTACGACAGGGTAGCATACCACTAGCGTTTACTTATATATATATATATAAGTTAAATCTAACGAGCCAGACAACCTACCACGGTTTCACCTAAGCGGATCGTCAGGGTTTTCCGGAAATCCCTGACGATCCACTTAGGTGGTAGGTTGTCTGGCTCGTTAGGTTTAACTTAGGTTTGCTCTACTTAGCGTATCGAGCACTTTATTAAGTTAATTTTCTTACTCGTATCGGGTTTTTTTTTTCTTTGAACTTGAGAGTTAGACGATTACTTTCGGCTAACGTACATGTCCTCTGTTCTTTCTCTTTTTTGTATCATTTTTCCCCTTTGGTATTGGTTTGTTTATTCACAAATCAAGGCACCTAAAGGTTTCCGGACGAGTAAAATTTCTTATATTTATAAGATCACAATATATATATATATATATATATATATATATATATATATATATATATTTTTAAAAAAACATGATTCCATCGCTATATAAGAGTTCTCATGTTTCAAAAGCAGTATCTAAAAACTTCAATTTAATTATAGAAGTTAAATTGAATTAAAGTACCCAGCTCTGTTTCATCCTCAAGCGAATTTTGAAATAATTTAGGCTCTACTTGTGTATTGAGCACTGTTTTTTTTTTTAAATAAAAAACAAAAATACTAAAGAACTTCGGATTATTAACCTAACGGTTCTTTCATATTTTTCTATATATTTTCACACACACACACACACACACACACACATATATATATATATATATATATATATATATATATATATATATATATATATACAAGAATTACAGATATGTATATATGCATTGTCTAGTGTGTATTACGTCTATCGGCCTGCTCATTCTTTACTTGTACTTGTTGCGACATTCACCCGGGATCGGTTGAGCGGGTCCCGTCAAATTAATCTGACGCATCTCGAAGGACGTGCAAATTCATAATAGAAGTTACAGTGGGAATTTGGATTCACAATAAGTCCCCAACCGCATATGTACAGACTTTCGGATAGTGAGATCCGAGCACTTCTAGGTGGGTTGGTCCATCATGCTTGTATTGCAATGCGCAAGTCCACATTATCCCGTACTTTATTTTTAATTTATTTAAGGGCATGTATCAAAAAAATAAATTGACTTTTGAATAAAAATACCTCGTCTACTTAACATCAAAAACCTTTTCAGCCACATGAAAAATGGTTATCTGGCCAGATGAAAGGAAAATAGATGTTTTGGGCATGAATTGCAATTATTTTTGACACAGACCCAACACAGCTGCTTCATACCAAACCAACTGTAAAACATGAAGATGGTAGCGTAAGAACCGTTTCTGTTCCTCTGGTTCTGTTTTCTATGTTTCTGTAACAGTTTGTTTATATGTAGACACCTATTTGAGCTAGACACTTCATATATACGTAGCCATTTATACGGTTCACATTTTCATACGTTTCACATTTTCATGTGTTTCATACTTTCATGTTTCACATCTTTATACGTTTCACATTTTCATGTCTTTCATACTTTCATGTTTCGCATCTTTATACGTTTCACATTTTCATGTGTTTCATACTTTCATGTTTCACATCTTTATACGTTTCACATTTTCATGTGTTTCATACTTTGATGTTTCACATCTTTATACGTTTCACATTTTCATACGTTTCGTAATTTCATGTTTCACATCTTCATACGTTTCACATTTCCATGCGTTTCGTAATTTCATCTTTCACATCTTCATACGTTTCACATTTTCATACGATTCGTACTTTCATGTTTCACATCTTTATACGTATCACATTTTCATGTTTTGTACTTACATTTTTCACGTCTTCATACGTTTGCGATATTCATACGTTTTGTACTTTCATATATCCAGTCAATTGAGGAAAGTAGGTTTTAGTTTGGTTTGATTTGTTTTACGACATATCAGCCTCAATGAGTTATTTTATGTTTTTTATTGCTGGTAATATTTTTCAAAAATGTATTGCTGATATTAAAACCTATTTTTGCACTTTCATAACGTTTTGACCCCAGTATCGGGCTTAACTATTTGCCCATAGCAGAGACACTAACAGGTGCTACCGCCCATGGTTAGGGTGGACCTGGGAACACCAGCATTTAAGAGGTGGTTCCACGCTCCTCAAAACCTCCTGATCAGAAGCCTTGCTGTCGGATGTAGTTTATCGTTTTACCAAGGACGCCAAGCAAATAGTGTCAAGATTAGACATAATCAGTAACTTCGCTCTTACTCCAAGAATTTCTCAGACATATATCCCCATCTCTCTTGTTTTGAACACAACGTTGCTGCCGCAAAGTTCTCCGTGTACCGCCAGGAGCGTGCTACATCCGGTAATATTTGAATTATGCCCATAATTTATACAAGACATTTTATGTTCATACATTTCATATTTTCATACATTCCATATTTTTATACGTTTCGTACTTTCATACATTTCATATTTTCATACGTTTCAAATTTTCATACATTTCATATTTTCATACGTTTCGTAGTTTCATGTTTCACATCTTCATACGTTTCACATTTTCATGCGTTTCGCATTTGCACGCGTTTCACATTTTCATGCGTTTCGCATTTTTACACGTTTCACATTTTCATACGTTTCAAATTGCCACTCGTTTCACATTTTCATGCGTTTCACATTTTTATGCGTTTCACATTTTCATATGTTTCACAATTTTGAAATGTTTCGTGCTTTCATACGATTCATATTTTACTGCGTTTCCCATTTACACACGTTTCACATTTTCAAACGTTCTTCTGTGATTGGTGAAATTGCAATCGAGTAATTTAACAAAATCATAAAGGACGCTTATACATAGAACCAGAAAGAGACAGTTGAATTTACCACGAGACAATGAGAAAAGACGACTTGGAGAACTTGACGCACACGGGGAATATTGAGACACATGGAAACAGCTAGTAATCTACATAACAAGCTTGTGTAAATGGATGGCAGAACAAGAAGTTTGGGGATGGTGAACAGACAAACCTTACTTAAGTGCTATAGGAAGTTGTGGAGAGCCATGATCACCAATGTCCGGAAGGCATACGGCACATAGAAGAAAAACGATGCAATGAGAAAAGAAGACTTGGCGAACTTGACACACACGGGGAAGAAAAGCAATAGATTCTGTTCCAAGCCCGTTGAACATTACTGGTCGACATATACGCGAAAAAAGCCTGTAAACGTAGCGACCAAAATTGCACAAAACAGCAAAGATGATCCTAATAACAATAATCCGACAGGATATTTTCCAAATAACTTCAATCTTGACCTCTTCAGGACTTGTGTTAAGTTTTTTATTTCCTGCATTGACCCCATGCACTTCATTTCTTGCCCCTTCTTACGCTCATACAACACCATACAATAAGTTCCTACTTTGAGTGGCTCTTGGGCCTTGCATTGGGTGAACATTAATATGAAAAAGATCCACGGCAAAATAACTAAATTTTTTTTATGATTTAAGATAAAACGTTACATCTGATGTTATTTCGGAAGTTTAGCTTAGATTTGACGCAAGGCCACAAGTATATGGCACCCAGTTAGAATCGATCTCACTACTCATTTGGCAATCATACTAGCCTGGATAACGATATCGGGATGCCCTGCTGTTATTTAGTTAGTTCTGACACAAGGCCACGTAGTATAGGGCACTTTTTGGGAA